TAGCTAGCTAGCTACTACTACACCTTTTGGGGGTCGACTCTTCTTCCTCCTACACTTTGCTCGCTTTCCATCAAGTCGTCGAACCGGACCGAACATGTGCAACCCCTACTCCCATGTCGACTACTGCTCTCTTCCGTTTCAAAATATAGTAATCTTAGTATGTGATTACACATGTGCTAATTCTACAAACTTGATCAATTTCATAGTAACGAAAACTATGTTTTATTTCATACTATATATGTTGCTGTATTTTTTTTTTTAAAGGATGGAAGGAATACATGCTTTGCGGTGTTGCGGTAGGCGATCGATCGGCGCTGCTGCTGCGGCTTTGCTGGCTCCGGAGTCCGGACGGACCGCCGGTTCGGCCCAGAAACCACAAGTTGGGTCCATGCTCTTTTGCCGCTGGTGAAAGGGCTGGCTCTGCATTTTGTCGCATCCTAGTGAAGTAAAGGCTCTCCCTCGATCGCCTCTCCCGAGAACTACGACAACAAGGCTGTGCTTATCCTGCTCTCCAGCTTTGTATGTGTAGTTGTGTACTATAGCAATGAAGGGAAAAAAAAACTGCACCTCATTACTGTGTTCTGCTGTTAACCCAAAGTACAGGAATGGAAATTTGGATTATCGTTCCAGATTAATTGGGCAACTTGGTTTTGAGCACCATTGCAAGTTTGCAACCAGCAATCAGTGCAACAATCTCTAGTGATCACGGGAGCCTTAGCAGCTTCAGATAGTAATCTCCCTAAAAAAAAAATCCAAATTCTAACCAAAATTTTATGGGTTTGTTCATTTTGAACCTTTTCTAACCAAAATTTGATAAGATAACAATCTAAACAAAATATTACCAATCCAACTCTACCAAAATTTGATAATTCCAAAACTTTCTACTCTCAAAACTTCTACCAAGAGTTGAAAAGGCTTCCAACCAAACCTTACCTTATCATACTAAAATTTGACAATGATAACATTTGGCATTACCAATAGTTGATAAGGTCTCTTTTTTTTTGGCAAAGAAGCGAATTATCCCCAAGACACGCAGCTACAATATCAAGAAGATAAATTAGTAGCAAAAAATGGGATGACTCTATAGCTAGATATGCATATGGGAATATGTGCCCGAAAATGACCGTGGGGCAATAACTGGGAATGACCGTATCTTAACGCCTCCTCACACTCTTTAAAGCCAGCGAATCTCGTCTCGGTCAGGTACGGTACCAATTGAACAAGTTGATGATCGCTTGCTTCCACTGAATGTACAGTACTAAGTTGCAGCATTGAGGATCACATGTATTGCAGCATTGAGGATCACATGATGTATACGGCATCTGTACGCCGTGTTGATGAATGGGCTCATGGTTAAATGGCCTCGACGGACGTGACCGGACCGGCCGGCCGGATGCCCGGAAGCATTCAGCGTCAACATGCCGACGTTAGCCTTACAGGGTTACAGCACACGACGGTGCAAGGACATGCCTGGCAATCTAGCATTTCACATTTTCACTAGAGTGTTGGCACGGTCACCTAGCTTGCGACCTGCTTGCCAGTACATGAGTAATTGCTAACTACACCGAGTACAAGATTACTACTGCTCCAGCTCGTGATCATTCCTGGTACAATTCGAAAAATTCCCCCAAAGGGTCACAGCTGTATTACATTTGAAAATTTTGTCAAGGGTTAAGTCCAACTTTAACTCATGGAATTTGCCCAAAGTCCATTTCTATCTCACCCAAAACCAAACTACAAAACCGTTTGTTTTTCACCCACAAACCCAAAAAAGTCAGGTAAATGGTTTTTCACTAATATGAACATACGAATGCTTGCGTAATAAAAGTACGAACTAGCTAGAAAAACAACTTACATTTAAAACAAAACAAATAAAAAGTACTAGTAAGTTCCAGGATGTACTTCGGTTTGCAACATTAGTCATCTTTTGAAGAGTTCATAATGAAAATAATCAGGTTGTAGTTAAGATAAAAGATGAACTTCGAATAAACTTCAAGGTCCATAAATGGATTCTACCCATTTTGTAAGTGGATGCATCATCATTTTAGAAAATATCATGAAATGAACAAAATGAAGATTGTTGTACAACCAGGAAGTTTTTCTCCGGTCCCTCAATATTTTCAAGAATCAAGGAAAAAACATATTGACCTTTTGTTTTTCCTTCAATTGAACTGGAGTACAAAACAAAATGGGAGCGGAAAATATGCCCCTCTCCTAATTAACGAACACCAAAAATCTGTCCGACTTCTAGACCACATACATAATTGCATGTGTAATTCCTGCATGTATAATATTTTTCCCATCCTGATTAGTGCTACGAGCTATATATACATCTTGATTCCTCCCCAAAGGCCATAAAGAACTCAGAACGTATATATGTTCACGAGACTCAAATATTTAGATCATTCGGGAGATTAACACCCACCGCCAACGCACATAATCCCCCAAGCAATATACCCTCCAACTCAAAAAGAATTATCCATGTGCATAGCCAAAAACCAAAGTTTCTTTTTTAGACGAAGGTAGTGCATAATAGGGAAACTATCATGAACTCTCGAGGGGATGCCCCCTCAAATAGTTATGAAAAAAAATTAAGATGTATTAGCATGTGATATATCACTCCATAAACATACAACTTAGATTTTAACTTTATATTTCGCAACAAAAAAACAAATTAAACTACAGCTAGTTAACGTATATTGACAGTCAAATTTGTTTTTTTCGTTGCGACATGTAAAAAATAAATTTTAAGTTGCATGTTTGCAAAGTGATATATATATATATATATATATATATATATATATATATATATATATATATATATATATATATATATATATATATCACATGTTAATATATTTCTCAATTTTTTCAAAATTTTTCATAATAATTTAAGTAACATGCAAGCAACGAAAAGACATCCCCTCGAGAGTTTAAAATCAACTCCTGTGCACGTAACAATCCAATGGGACAGAACAATGCCAACTGGGCATGTCCTGCTCCGCCGATATCCTCTTGACCCTAATCTGTTCAAATTTCCCTACCATGAAACTGAAATATAGCCTAAATTTTTAGTACAGGTCAACTGTAGACACAACTTCCCTTTCGCCATATAGCTAAGGATTACATATGCATGCACACAGTTCAGGCGTCGAACCCAGTGGCGCAACCAGTGGACATGTGAGAGCGGCCGCGCTCAGACAGCAAACTTCCAACTCCAACCGCCATCCGAAACCCAACCAGATTTCTTCCCAATTAAATCCCCCTCCCTCCTCTACTCGATCGCTCTACACGACCGATCGATCGATCGATCGAGAGCCTGACCCACGCGTCGTACCGGACCAGGATGTTGGATTCCATTAATGCCAGCAGCTATAGCCCAAGTAGCTTAGCTAGCCATACACCGCCGTCGGCCAGCTTGGCGAGACCGCGACGTTCGCGCGCCGCGCGGCACCGGCCGGGAGGGGGGGGGGGGGGGCGAGCGCGACGGGGACCCGCGGCCGCGCGCGGCACGGCGCCGTGGTCCACGTACGCCGATCTACCTAGCTCGTGCAGTGCGGACTACGCATGCAGCGCCCACTACCACCTTGCCGCGCAACACCAGCATTTCTCTCTCGCCTCGTCTCGTCTCGTCTCGGCTCGGGGTCGGGGTCGGGGTCGGGGTGTGCAGTAGAAAACAAAACTTTGCACCATTCAGATTCTGCTAGCGCACGCCTCGCCACCACCAGGCCGCGCGCGCGCGGCCGTGTCTACAGTCTCGAAGTGGCCATCAAGGATGGCTTCAATAATGGCGGGGGCGGGCAAAAGTACAACACGGGGGGGGGGGGGGGGGGGGGGGAGAGGAGAGCGCGACGGGGAAAAGGGGAGGCTCTTCGCTTTTCTCTCCCCCCCTTCTGCGCTGCGCTGCCACTGCACGCAGTGCACCAGCCTAGCTAGCTCAAGGCCGCAGCAGCTAATCCTATCCACGCTCTCGATCACGCGCCACGCCAGCCTTTCGCACGGCGCGCGCCGCCGCTGTCGACGACGACGGCGAAGGCAATGCGCGCGGGCCGGTGAAAAGCAAGAAAGTGGCCGGACGGACGGCCAAAAGAGAGATCACCGGAGTTGTTTTTTTTTTCTCCCTCTCCCCGTCTTTCTCTCCCCCGGCCTTTCCTTCAAAAGATAAAGGAGAGGCAGCTTGCAAGGCTGGCTCCCGGCCCCCGGCCCCGGCACGGCCGTCTCCTTCCTTTCCGGCCGTGGAGCCTACCATTTTACCTTGCGAGCCGCGCCATTGGCGGATGCCATGATGCTCTCAATTCCTATCCCTCTCGCCAAGCATACCGCATGGTGATCATGGCCAGGACATAAATGTGCATGCTAGCCTGCGAGCTAGTAGACGGGAGGAGCTCGTCGTGATCATCAATGGCGTATCACGAATTCGATCGCAATGAATGCAACGGCCTCGTTTAATAAAAGCAGAAAGGTGGATCGATGTTGCCACGAAGTAAATGGCATGAGCAGAAATGCACATTGCTGCAAGCAAGCAAAGAGAGTAGCAAGACAACAAGCAGTAGTGTAGAGTAAAAGAGAGGACGAGGCTTCATTGAATTCACATAGGCTAAATTCTAAAAAGTCCCCGGCCATTGCTATAGCTTCTGCAAGCTCTGCGTCCTAACACATGGGCAGCAATGCGGCATCACTGCTCGCGAGATGTGGAAGACGAGTAAATGCAGCGGATACAGTGAGATCGAGAACTCGGAAGAAAAATGCAGCGAACATGGTAGCTAGAGAAATTGGAATTTCAGAGTAGACAGGTGAAGCGGACGGATCATGGACAAGTTGGTGCCCAGGTCTGGAAATTGGAAGCGAGGGAGATCGATGTGAATGCAACAGTGTTGCAGCTCATATAGTTGCAGCCGACCTTTCTGAATCTTTATCTGCCCTAGTTGTTAGCTAGACGAACTACAAGTGCTACTGATGATGAAGTGCCAAGCACAAGAAATATAGGGGAAAAGAAATGATGAAACAAACAAACCGTGCAGCAACCCAAATCCCCAGGAAGGAAATTTCAATTGCAACACAAAAGTACTACATTCCCAAGATCTAAATCGATCGGCAAATCGCCATCCATGTCCTCTTCCTTCCCAACACCAAACGTCGTCGTCATCATCTACTAGGAAACAACAACGACGGCAACCACAAGCCCAAAGAACCCAACCACAATGGAATAAAATAACGAAAAAGAAACAAGGAAGGATGCAAAAGCAGCAGCAGCAGCAACCACCACCTCCCCTAAAACCAACAAGAACAGCTTGCTCGCTACGAACCTAGCTAAGCTTCTACTCAGGTGAGGTAAAAGAAGGCAAAGAAAAAGGCTAATTAGCCGCGGGTAAGGAGGTAGTAGAAGTAGATGGAGATGGTGATGCATGCAGTTGCAGTTGCAGTGCAGGTACCTAGCACCGGGAGGAGATGAGCTGAGCTGAGCTTGCTTGGCTTAGCTTAGCTATGGCGCCTTCTTGCCCAGGGTGTGCTTGTTGTTGTGCATCCAAACCTTGAGGACATGGCGCTTGACGCAGACCTCCTCGCAGAACTGCTGCACGGCGGCCTCGTCGTGCTTCTGGATGCGCCACCCGAGCCGCTCCGCGAAGGCGAGCATCTTGTCCTTCTGCTCCTGCGTGAACTTTGTGCGGAACCGCTTCTTGCCGGAGCCGGAGCCGGAGGGGCCGGCGGAGCCGAGGGACATGCCGACCATGGGGCCAATCACCATGGGGCCGACCATCCCGGACATGTCGTCGCCCTCGTCGCGTCCCGAGTGGGAGGTGGACGGCAGCGCGAGGGGCCGCTGCGGGTAGCCGCCCGCTGCGGCGGCGGCCGCGGCCGCCGCCGCGGCCGCCATCTGGTGCTGCTGGTGGTGGAGGTACCCTGCCGGGGTGCGGTAGTAGGGGGAGAACTGGTGGTGCGGCGAGGCGCCGTAGGCCGAGATGGCGGCGGGGGACACGGCGGAAGGCTCGGCCGGCCCGACGCCCGTGGGGGACTCCGACTCCTTGCGGTGGAAGTTACGGTGGCAGCCGCAGGCGGCGCAGCGGAGCGCGTCGATGGAGCCCTCCTCGCCGGAAGCCATGAACTCGCCGCAGCCGTCCACGGCGTGCCCGCCGATGCCGACGGCGTGGTTCTTGAGGCACTCCCGATACCTCGCCCCTCCTCCTCCACCACCACCACCACCACCACCGCCGCCGCCGACTCCACCTCCCGGCTTGGGCACCCCGCCACCGCCACCTCCAAGCCCGGGCTGCATCGGCGCGTCGTAGCCCGAGCTCAGAGGCATCGGAGGCATCTCCTCGTCGCCGTCACCCTCGTCATGGTCGTCGAAATCCATGGCCGCCGACCGACCGACCGGCCGGCCACCCCCTTTCTTTTCCCTCCCTTTTGGATTTCTCGGGTGTGTTCTTGGCGAGCTTAAGAAAAGCTTAGGGAGTAATAGAGGAAGGAGACGAGGCTATGAGCAAGTATAGGGGAGTGTGAAACTGTGGACACACACCTGCTAATTTTGACGCGCCGCTGCAAGCAGCAGCTGCTGCTGTTGCTGCTGTACCCTTCAGCTAGTAGGAGTAGCTAGCTAGATGATGCAATAAACTCTCTCTCACTCACTAGTGAGAGTGTTACTAGTAGTACTTGTCTGGGGCGCACCTGTCGCGCCGGGGCAATGACGGGGCGGTGTGTGAGTGAAGTGTATCTCTGTTGTCTCGCGATGTACAGTAGTATGTAGTAAGTACACGTCTCCGCTCGGCGGCATCCGTGTGATGTTGTATGCTACTGGAAGTGGGTTTGGCTCCAACTCGTTTTAAAAATGGGGGTTTAGGGCTGTACTAGGAGTGTTTTTCGGTTGATTGTGACAGGTGCTTCGTGTTTGAAACTCGTTATCCCCATCATAACAAAGTAGATTTTGTGTTGGACTAACGCATGATTTGGAGTTTGAAGGTACGGTAGTAGTACCGTGTTTTTAGCCCCATGTTGGAAACGGGCGTGATGTGTCCTACTGGGATTTTTCGTAAGAGTTCAATAGTAGTAGTAACAATTAATAACCAGTCCATTGTTTCACAAGATTTCCGGATTTCAGACTTCAGAGAAGTCCTCCAATTTTGTTTGCTTCTGCAATCTTTATATGGCTTTCTAAGGAGCAACCACACGCTCCGTCCATCCCAAAATATAGTAATTTGGGAGTGGATAGTTCAATGAATCTAGACAAGAGGTTGTGCAGATTTATTGGACTAGGATATGTCACATCCAGTCCTAGGTTGTTATATTTTGGGACGGAGGTAGTACGTATTTTGCTAGTACGTTGTAATGACTTATATACAACTAGTATGGTGGTCCGCACAAATTGCGCGGCTAACATCATTATATTTTCTCTTATATAACAGCATATGTGTTTTCTCATTATATTATTCAAATATATTAAAATGACAACATAATTTTAAATTTTGCAATAACTTTACAAAACTACTAATGTGTAATATTCATATATATTTTATATACGTGTTAGTTATTAATTATTTTTAATATCAAATTTTAGTTATTTGTAAATTATATATATTCCTATATGGACTCTAGACTCGTCTTTTCATATTTCTTTTTTTAATTTCGAATTTTCTGTAAATTGTATTTCTATATACACTCTATGTTCTTCTTCCAATATTATTTATTTTTATTTCTGAATTTTTATTATTTCTAATTGTATTTCTATGTGGACTCTAAACTCATTTTTCAATATTCTTTAATTTTTAATTTCGAATTTCTGTTACTTCTAAATTGTATTCCTATATTTGTATTCCTATATTAACCTTAAACTCTTCTTCCCATGTTTTTCTTAATTTTGAATTTTTTTATTGTAAATTGTATTTTTATACGGACTCTAAACTCTACTTTTAATTTTATTATATTTATTCTAAATTTTAGTTAGTTTTAAATTCCTATATGGACTCTATACTCTATTTCTAATATTCCTTATTTTTTAATTCCGAATTTCTATTTTTTTCTTAATTGTATTTCTATATGGATTCTATACTCTACTTCTAATATTCTTTATTTTTAATTCTGAATTTCTATTATTTTCTAATTGTATTTCTATATGGACTCTATACTCTACTTCTAATATTCCTTATTTTTAATTCCAAATTTAAGTTATTTACTAATTATATTTCTATATAGACTCTATACTCTACTTCTAATATTCCTTATTTTTAATTCCGAATTTAAGTTATTTCCTAATTGTATTTCTATATGGACTCTATACTCTACTTCTAATATTCGTTATTTTAATCCTGAATTTCAGTTATTTCTTAATTGTATTTCTATATGGACTCTAGTCTCCTCTTCTAATATTCCTTATTTTTTAATTCCGAATTTCAGTTATTTCCTAATTGTATTTCTATATGGACTCTAGTCTCCTCGATCTTCTAATATTCCTTATTTTTTAATTCTGAATTTCAGCTATTTCTAAATTGTATTTCTATATGGACTCTAGTCTCCTCTTCTAATATTCCTTATTTTTTTAATTCCGAATTTCAGCTATTTCTAAATTGTATTTTTATATGGACTCTGTCTTCTCTTTTTCTCCGATTAATGTGAGAATTTCTAGGCCATGAGAGCGAACGTGGAGGCTTATTTTTCTATTCCTTTAATAATATAATGGATGGATGGATCTTTAAGAAGATATCAATATGTACCAAGTACGAGTAGATAATCCTTATATCCATCGATGGAGCAAAGGAAAAGGAAAAAAATTCTAAAGATGAATTTGACAATTTTAGTTAGAAATTATATATTTTCAAAATTTCTAGACAGTATCTCAAGGTTTTACATGGAGATTTTTATGAGAATGTCACTCATTTGAATATGTACGAGGCTAAAAGATACAGACCCAATTCAAATCAAGTTCGAGTCCACCTCGTCATCCATGAGCAGCCGCAACAAAATCGCCGCCTGGACCTCATTCGGACTCCCTTTTTTATGTTCTAGATATGTACAGAAAGCTAACGAGACCACCTTTCCAATGGATTTGGTATCACGTCAAACATACTTCTAAGTCAACGGAAACTATCGAAACAAGAGAGCGTCCAAAAACTGTCGGGATGTTGTATCATTGTCTTTAAACCTATTGAGCCGTGTATCATGTTAGAGTCCACTAGGGATGTGTTTAGGGGTCTTAGGTCGGCCCTAGAACCAATTTAATCAGTAACCATCATCGAATTAGAGTTGTGTTTTACTTAGATTATTCTGTCACTACAGTTTTGTTGCTAGTTTGGTTTGTGGAACCCAGAGATATCTTATCAACACAGTATATTTAGATTGAATCTTCCACTCCCTTACTAGTGTTAGCGATTCGTTTGCAGGAGACGACTTTTTCGATGAGGCCAACAGAGGGGCAGTGTAGTGATTGCGAGGAGTTCGGTCATTCTAGTAATCAGAGCCTCTGGATCATCAACTTTGAGTCTCCATGATCAACCTATCTAGTATCTAATGGAAGATTGGGACCCTAGTCCTCATCAGTTTTTAGCCAACCCTAAGGCTCAAGCATTGTCTCAAGCCTGGCTCTGCCCCTGATTATATCCAAACATTTTGTTATAAAAACAGGTATGATCGGCACCCATGGTTTGAATCTCCAACACCATTAATATGTGCATTGATCATGGCTGCTTTTGAGGTAAACCACCATGCCAATTTATTGTTGTTGGATTCTGGATCATTTGGAACTAGTATTTTTTAGGGCAATACGAAAATACCATACCTGCATATAGCTTTTGATAAGGGAAAAAGTTTTGTCGCATATATATTATTAGAGGAGGCCTACAACAAAGATAAATGTATGTATAGGACAGGCAAAAACCATGCCTACAAAAGGAGGTAACTAAGTGAGCTCTCCCAAACAGAGGTTTTCGGAGTTTGTACGCCTCCGCTTTATCGAAGTCACTGGCTCTTTTTCTTTGATCTTTGCTATTATGGTAGGTAGGGATGCTACCACGTTGCAGAAGGCTCACACATTGCACTTGCATCAGACTTCCCATACCACATGTAGTAACTCCTTGATGAAGCTCTCTCTCATAGCCTGATCTTCTGGTGAGGGGATAACTCTCACTTCAATCAAATGCGACGTAGCTATCAACCAGAGCAAGTTCAGGATGTCATGCAATCGCTACACCATAAAACGATGTCGTACCAATTGTGACACGCAGTTGATGATCCCTGCAATGCAAAGGAGAGAACACTGCAAGAACATGATAAATGCAATTAGATATTGCGAATAGGTAATTAAGCACAAAGAAATAGCTGCGATTGAAGTGGTAGATCCAATCGACCCGGCAAATCAACACACCAATTATTTGGAGCTTTGAGTCTATAGTCGTTGACTAATCAAGTGAGGACTAGAGACAAGACGAATGTCACCTGGCAAAATTCAACTAAATAAAATCCAATTGTTCTAGAGGGTGTATATAGACATTTATAAAGGAAAATAAAGCTAGGATTAAGTGCTAGTTCATGGAGGTGGAGAGAAGCACTTCTAAAATGGGCCTAACCTATTGCAAGGCCCAAGGCCCAAGTTCGGTTTCAACAACACCACTTTATTGTTTTGATGATTCCCATTGACTTCAAATGAATTTGGATATGAAACCATATGCGTTTGACAGGTGACAAGATAAGTTTTCCAACAAGTCTAAGATTATCTAAATCGGAGTTAACATGAATGTGCTAGGTTCGTTTAAAGTTAGTGTTGTCTCTGGAGGCCGAACTGGACTTGGACTTGGAATTGTCATTGGAACGTGTGAAGTTATGTGCGTATCCTATGAAGTGATGTTCTCGAGAGTTTAAAACACTTTCCCATCAAGTATCATTTTAAATATATGAAGACATATATATAGTTGCCAATTGTTTCGACACTAGCAATCATAATAAGAACATAATTATTGTTTAGGTTAAACTAAATACTTTTTTTAACAGCCAACACTAGACGGTGCAATGATTCATTAAGTAGAACAGAAAAAATTACAAAGCTAGCACCCTAGAAGGTAGTAGCTAGGAAAGGAAAGAAAAACACCACCACCACGCACCACGCACCGAAAACACATACACAGAACTCAGCAGAAAGCTAGCACCGAACCTGTTGCACCTATGCCAACAGAGAAGCTACAACCGGGCCACCCAAAGCTAAATCCTAACAGCGAGCACCGTACTCAGCTCTATCCATGCCCTTAGGGTTCAAGGAGAGAGGATGAGAGAGAAGATGGAACCGCTCTCCTCTACAGGGCCCGTCAACATGGCCAACTTGCATTGACTAGGGCGCCTCCGAAAGAGGACATCAATCAAGAAAGAGCACGCACAACCTGTCGGAGAGAGGTTTTGGTAGTGTCTCCTGGGAGAAAAGGCGACGATGAACACCCATATCGTTGTTCTTCGAGGCCTCGAGGAGAATCAAGACAAGGTTTTCACCAGGCTGCCTACCTGAGAGAGAGGGGCGGCTCGACAACGCTCCTAAGAGGGAAAATGACATCGTTGCTTGCCCGGCAAGGCCAAGCTAGGATTTACACCTGCTGCCTGCCCCTTTAATGCTCCAATGCTGCATCATCGACCATCCTCTATCGGCATGTGGTCACCGATGTACCTGCACAACCCCACAAGTCAGCCTCCCCGGCCCCCCTGTCGTCGGTGATGTCAGCCTCCCGCTCCATCGAGCGGGCCGGCCTCCTTGCCATCGCCCGAACTAACCCTCCTGGTGCCACACACGCCGCGCCAGCCTCCCTGCGCCGCCAAAGAAAACTCTAGCCTCCCACATCAAAGATACC